CTGTGGGGTCAAACCCCATTACTATCTACCAAATTCCCATTCCTGAAAGCCTAGCTTTCAGGGCTATACTCACTGGAATATGAATCCATATGTAGAAACAGAGTTAGTGTGTAAATACAAAGTGTTAAGGAAACCACTCGAGCTCCCGGATGGTTTCGGAAGGAGAAAGAAACCCCCAGCGGCAGCCCCGGCAGCCACACATCAGCTTGCACATCATCTGCTCCTCCTGGAGCTTCATCTCCCTGAGAGCAGCCACTGAGGGACCCTGAGGGTCAGTGCAAAGCAGATGCTGGGGATGAGGAAGGACATCCCCATGCTGGGGGGAACAGGAGGAGATGAGAGTGCCCAGCATGGAGAAGGAGCTTTGTCCATCCCGTCACAGGTGAGTTTGGGATTTGCTGCAGATGTAGAATGTGGGATTGGAGCAGACCCCATTCCCGAGGTAATTGTCAGCCAGGTACATACACCCTGTGTTGCCACGGACCTCAACCCTGCAGGGAGCAGCAGAGACAGCGCTGGAACCAAAGAGGGGACACCTTGTGCCCCTGTGCTGCCATCCCCTCCTTGTGCCCCCCAGGACTCAGGAGGAGTTGAAGCTGCTGCCGTCCCCCCACTGCAGCTCCCGGCCCCGTCTGCGCAGCCCCACCCAGTAATCGACCCTGGCACTGTGAGGGAAGAGGAACTCCTGGGAAGGAGAGAGGAGCCGGCACTGGGAGCTGCACCCCCGGCCCAGGAGACCCCCAAGGATCCCCTCGGCCCCCCCAAAGCCCCTCACTCACCATTTCCCAGTCCTKGAGCACGGCCAGGGAGGCCCCGAGCTCGGAGCACTGAGCCTGAGCCTGATCCCAGCTGAGCTGATCCCTCGAGAGGAAGTAGCAGATCCCGCGGTGCCCGACCCAGCCATGGGGACAGGCCAGCAGCACTGGAGTGTCAGGGGTAACTGGATTTTCTGTTTGTGTTCTCCCTGCAGAAGAAAATGGAGACTCTCTGAGCATTTCCCTCCACACAGAGCAGAGACCCTGCTCTGCCCCAGGGGCTGAGGCAGCTGCCCCTCCCTTACCTGACACAACAGCCAAGGACACACCCAGAGCCAGGAGCAGGAGCCCATTGAGAATCAGCACCCCCAGAGTGATTTTGGGATGGGATCTGATCCACTCGACTGCAGCTGCAAAAGCAGGACAGAGGTGCTGGTCGTGAGGACGGGGCTGTCCTGAGCAGGAGCCCCGTGAGCCCCTCACTCAGCTGGGGCAGGAGAGACCAGGGACAGGGGACAAACAGGGACAGGGACATAGCCAGGGATAGGGACAGGGGACAAACAGGGACAGGGACACAGCCAGGGCACAGCCTGTGACAGCACAACTGCCCAGGGCCAGGGATGTCAGTGCCAGCAGAGCACGAGGCCCCTTCCAGAGCCCTGGGAACAGCCCCAGCCCTGCCAGCCCTGTGCTCTGGGTGACACTGTCCCCTCCCTGCACTCACCCAGACATCCTCTGAGGGTTTGTTTCTGTTTATCCAATGATACGGATCTGCCCTGGGGACCATGAGGCACCTTCACTCTTCCCTTTCTGGTGCCGAACCCATTCTCCACATCTTCATGCCCTGCACAAGTGGCACCTCCCTGCTTGTCACAAGCGGCTTCTTGTGCCCGAGACAAACGTGTAACCTCAGCTGCTGATCCCTTCTGGGGACACAGGAGTTCCTTCACAGCCCCATGAACGGAGCACAATTCACTCTTCTCCAGCTCACAGCTGGAATGTCTCAGCCTGGCACAAAGAGCACCTGGCTCAGGGAGCATCAGCAGTGCTGAGAAGGCCTTTCGGAGATCAGCCTCGGGAACAGTTTGACAACGACGATCAGCGGTTAAACGACCCATGATGAAGGATCTCGGCTGCTTCGGGCTCAGGAAGGCGCTGCCAGCTCAGCCCTGCCCTGTCCCTGCTCCCCGCAGATCGGTGGCGACAGAGAAGCGACGCTCCTGGGGCTGTCACCGAGCACCAAGGAATCCCCTCTGAGGCGGAGTCTCCGCTCAGCAAACGCTGCCAGGACAGAGAGAAAGCTCTCAGCTGCGGGCTSCGATCACAGAGGGAGCGGCTCCACCCCCGCCATTCCCGTTCTGCCCGCGGCACTGGCAAAGGAACGGACAGCAGCGATTTTTGGGCACAGGTAGAAATGGAATGTATGGATGGGTTGGGTCAGCCACGACAAACAGCAATAGAATCATGAGGAAGGCAACGACAGCAGCAGCGCTGGCACCGTAACACAGCTGCGGTCACACACGGCCATGGCACAGCATCACAGAATCCTCGCACTTGGACGGGACCCACGAGGATCATCCAGTGCAACCCTTTGGGAATGGTCCCTGTGGGGTCACATCCCAACCTTGGCACTATTGGCACTGTGCTCTAACCAAAGTCACATTCCTGTGGCAGCACAGGTGTCCAGGCAATACAGAAACAGTGAAATAAACTT